TCTCCTTTCCAACGCAGAGGGAAAAGGGATTCCAGGGGAGCCCATTGGGTTAAACACATTGGGAAAAAATTAATTAGTAAAAGAGTAATTAACAGGAGAAGGGAGGGTATAGGACTAGGGACAGACTCCCAAACTAAGATTCCTCAATAGAAAGTGAATAAGGTGAGTAATGCTCTTGTGAAGCATTCAAATGTTTTAGATGGATGAATGAATGAATCAGAAAAAGGGGCTGGAACCCAAGGCAACATAAAGGACGATTCCTATTCCAAAGACAGTGAGTTGTAGTGGGCTTATGTGGAAAGTGAGGCTGAAGTGGACCCTGCTGGTGCAGGAAGGAAGTTTGACACACTCAGAGACACATCCTTCCAGAACGTTTACAAACCAATCAGTCCTAGCAAGAGAGACAATGAAACATTCCCCTCACAAACTCCTTAGCCAGTTCAGACCTGAAGGCTTCTCTTACTAGTGTCCCAGCTGCCCTTTGCCAGCAAGGGCCCACAGCTACAACTATCAGAATGCAAAGAGGGGGAATTTGCACTGACCTGTCTTCCATTTTGCCCTGGAGCATGGTTTGTATTAGTCTCAGGCCTGAACTCTTACCTCCTAGGCCACATGCTTACAGAGAATAGAAGTCAGGGTGGAAGGAGTGGCAGAGTGATAAAATGGTTTGACGTCTTAGACAGTTTCTCACAAATCAGACACTGATCCCTTCCCTCCCTTCCTCCCTTCCCCCGAAATGGCTGGGAGATGAAGTTGGAGCAAGACAAGAGAAGCCAGAGAAACCTGTCTGTTGTCTACTTGGGTGTCTGAGCAGAGGTCATTTGCGAAAAGTCTGTGTTCTGTCCAGGGACAAGGGCTAAGAGAGCTTACACTGGGGGGAAAAAGGGAAGCACGATGACCCCAAATAAGGGGTCACAAGGTTTGCAGAAGGGCACAAGTCATTCTCATTCAATACAGTGGTCTGGAGTGGTAGTGGTGGTAACTTCCTTGCACATGCTTACTCCTGTATCTAGCCGTCTACATGTGATGTATATAATAACATCCACACGCACACACACACACACAGCTTAGTGATAGAAAGAACCTTAAAGGTCCAGTATTCCTATCTCCTCCTCTCCATAACTCCTCTACCAGAAGGCATGTGGTCTCTGCCTTAACACTCCCAGCGAAGGGTGGGAGTAGGGAAGAGGGGAGGGCATTGCCACTCTTCCTGTCGGATTACTGTATTAAACCTGCCTCCCATCAATCCTTGAATTCTAGTTTTGCCCTCAGATGGGCATTGTCTATTTCCTATTTTATATGATGTTGGCTACATCTTTACAGATAGCCTTATCACTACTTTACAGGGCTAGTGACTGAAACACCAAAAAAAACCCCAAACAAACAAAAACGCCCCCCCACACACAGGAAGCAACACTCAGTAAAAATCTGTTGAATGAATGAGTGAAACAAAGACACAAACGAGAATATGTTTTCCGATGGCGGTGGAGCAGAAAGGCGACAGCACCACCTCTCGTCCCCCGACCGCGCCCACCCCGCCATATAGCAAGACTGAGAGACGCGCAGCGAGGCTGGAGATGCGCTCCGACTCGGCCCGCAGCCCAGAGCTGGGATCTGGGTGGCCTGGGTTGCCATGGCACCGCCTTGGACTCCACCCTCTCTCGTCTTCCCTCTACTCCCAGCCGGGGTTATGGCAGCCAGTCACGTGCTGTGCCGCGTAACCACACCTCTGCTCCTCAGAGCAATGTCAAGCGGTCACGTGTGATAGCAACAGGTCACGTGGCTGCCCTCGCCCCTCCGCCCCCTTCCTCGCCCCGCCCCCTTCCCGGTCAAAGCCGCTCCTGGCGGCCCCTCTGCGCATGAGCGGCTGGTCACGTGCCCCGAACGTCCGGCGGCCGCCCCGCCCCCCCAGTTTCCGCGCGCCTCTTTGGCAGCTGGTCACATGGTGAGGGTGGGGGCCGGGGGGCCGCTCTAGCCCGCGGCCTGCGTCTGTGGTCGGGCCCGGAGCGCCCAGCTGCCCGGACCGATCCCGAGTGTATGGCGCCGCGGGAACCGGCTCCGGGGCCCCGATAACGGGCCGACCCCGCCGCTCCTGCACGGGGGAGGTGAGTGCAGCCCCTTCGCGGGAATGGAGCCTTCTCGCCGTCCACGGCTGCCTGCGCGGGCTGGGTACGGGAGGGTCGCTCGAGGGCGGGAAGTGGGGCAGGGGCAATGGGGTCCTTTGTGGTCGTAGGGAGGTGTAATTTTCGGTACTGGGGTGTAGGATCTTCGATGCAGTGGGTGTGTCGTGTAGGGTCTCCCCTGTTCGGGGCGCGATGGTCCCAAAGGAAAAGGCATTTTTTCTTCTAGGGCCTCACGTGGCTGGAGGAGTTGGGGTTAGAGTCATTGTGTTACCTGAGGGGCCGGCCGCAGGGAAGATTCGGGAAGGGACGAGATGCTGGCGGTGTTGTCTTTGTGATGTCTTTTGTGTGAGTCACTTTGTTGCTGCAGGCTCGTTCCATCCGAACTCTGGAAGGGAATTTCGGTGGTAGCAGTCTCTGTGATTCTAGGGTCTCCTCTGATCTGAGAATGGCTACCCCTCGGTATGAGCCAGTGGCTGAGATTGGTGTCGGCGCCTATGGGACGGTGTACAAGGCCCGTGATCCCCACAGTGGCCACTTTGTGGCCCTTAAGAGCGTGAGAGTCCCCAATGGAGGAGGCGCTGGAGGGGGCCTTCCCATCAGCACAGTTCGTGAGGTGGCCTTGCTGAGGCGGCTGGAGGCTTTTGAGCATCCCAATGTTGTCCGGTGAGAAAGACGGCAGAGGGTTGGGAGGGGGTGGAAAAGGGGAAAGACAACCTGCAGATGAGGAGTGGTGGTCAGGGGAGAAGTGGGGACCCTGAGGCAATAGGGGAGGCCATGTTGGCTCAAAGAGGAGTGATCAGTGAGTGACCATTTCTTCTGGTCAGGCTGATGGACGTCTGTGCCACTGCCCGAACTGACCGGGAGACCAAAGTGACCCTGGTATTTGAGCATGTGGACCAAGACCTAAGGACGTATCTCGACAAGGCACCCCCGCCCGGCTTGCCAGTGGAGACCATCAAGGTGAGAGGGGTGGGCAGACACTCAGAGGTGGATTGGGACCTTTGTAGCAGAACCTGTTGTGATTTCAGGTTTGGTGCTAGTTTCCAGTTCCTCTGTACCTCCCCCTTCCAAACCAGGATCTGATGCGCCAGTTCCTAAGAGGCCTAGATTTCCTTCATGCCAACTGCATCGTTCACCGAGACCTGAAGCCAGAGAACATTCTGGTGACAAGTGGTGGGACAGTCAAGCTGGCTGACTTTGGCCTGGCCAGAATCTACAGCTACCAGATGGCACTTACACCTGTGGTCAGTAGAAGGATGGTAGCCAAAAGGGGTTGTGGTTGGGGGCAGGAGCGCGATTGCCCATAGCGGTTGAGAGGGCATGTGCTTTGTGTAACCCGTAGGGCCCTCCCCTGCTCTTCTTATTCCCATTAGGTTGTTACACTCTGGTACCGTGCTCCGGAAGTTCTTCTGCAATCTACGTATGCAACACCTGTGGACATGTGGAGTGTGGGCTGTATTTTCGCAGAGATGTTTCGTCGAAAGTATGGGACCTGAGTATCCTGAACTATCTTGAATTTCCCAGATCTCTTATTCATAAACCATATCCATACTCTGCCCGTTCCTTTACTTAAGTACTACTGACCCCCTTGACCATAACCAGAAGCTCTGAATGTCCTAGAATTAGGAATTTCATATCCTTTTATTCTCCACGGCCTTTGTTTTGAACCATTAAGCAGTAATCAGTCTACCACTATGTCTTTGAAAATGAGTGCTACCTTGTTTTCTCTTCCCCACCTCAGGCCTCTCTTCTGTGGAAACTCTGAAGCTGACCAGTTAGGCAAAATCTTTGAGTAAGTGACCGGCAAGGGGGAAAGGAGTTTTCCATTCTGAGTCCTTCTCTTTTTGCTGAGCCCCGGATGGCAACTGGCGGTGCGCCTGGAGATGGGGACTGGAGAAGGACGCCTCTGACCAGAGTTCTCCTGTTTCTCCATAGCCTGATCGGGCTACCCCCAGAGGAAGACTGGCCGCGAGATGTGTCTCTACCCCGAGGAGCCTTTCCCCCCAGAGGGCCCCGCCCCGTGCAGTCGGTGGTGCCCGAGATGGAGGAGTCTGGAGCACAGCTGCTTCTGGTACTGGGCTTGGGCAAGGGCACCAGATGAGATTGGGGGCAAAACGGAGCAGTATAAAAGGGACCCAAACCACTGTGGTTACTGAGACTTGGTTGGTGGATGGGTTAGTTTTCATTGTTGCTGTGAGTGGCCATCCACAAAGAGGGATGTAGAACACAGCCTGGGGACTCTTGGGGGTGAGCAGCAGTCTGGCCTTCATGGGTTTTCTGACCTTTGCCTCTCCTTTCAGGAGATGCTGACTTTTAACCCACACAAGCGAATCTCTGCCTTCCGAGCCCTGCAGCACTCTTATCTACAAAAGCCGGAAGGTAACCCAGAGTGAGCAGTGGAGTGGCTGCAGCAGAGCCAAGACAAGAGAAGCTGTCAGTACCCTTCTTGGAACACTTGAGTGGAGAGCCCTCCGCAGAAGGCCCTCCTGCCTTCATCTCTGTGGAGACTCCTCCCGACTTTTTACACACAATATTTTGCTGCCTTAATGACATTCCCCTCCCACCCTCCTTTGAGGCTTACCCTCTTCCTGCCCCCATCTCCTTACTCCGAGGGGTCTGTCCCTCGTTCTCCCCTTCCCTACCTTGATATTGGGATCCTTTTTTATACAGGAAAAACAAACAAAACAAAGAAATATGCTCCTTTTTTTTTTTTTTTTAAATGTTTCTTTCTCTGATTGGCTTTGCTGTTTGGGGATTTGGAAAAACCGTTTGGAAGTGGAACTTCCTTGCAGAATTTTAAAGCTTCTCCTCAGGTCCCAGGGCCTCCATGGTCAGGGGAGCCCCTTGACTGGCAACAGAGAAGAAAAGGCACTTAAGTTGCTTCTTTGAATATGGAGTTTAAATGGCTTTTATTTTTATATTCACTGAACTCCCCCAAACTGGGTCCTGCTTATTACAAGGAAGAGTTCTTGGTGACTTTCTCCTGGGCTCTGTCCCCAATTTACCTTTGGAGCCAGGATGTGAAAGGGAGAAGAGGGGAGACAGAGCCAGGAATGACTCCAACCCCCATCCATCTCATGTACTTCCCAGGAGCTTCCCATGTCCCCTGAGGGACAGAGGGAGGAAGTTTCTCTTTGTTCTTTATAATCTTGCTCCCACTAAAACATGTCATGGCACAAAGCCTAGCTATTCAGTCATCTTGAGGGGACATGGCAAAGGGCCTTGCCTTTTTCTCAAACAAAAAGGGCTACAGACCCTAGGTCTTCCGTAAGGGAGGAAGAAAAAGCTTAGGGAGAGCAGAGAGCAGGAGAGAAGTCAGAAGGCTCCAAAGTCTCATAGAAAGGCACTGGGGTTGGCTCGAGGATCCTTCTGATTCCGAAATCTCATCGCTAGCCAAACACCAAGGATCTGTAGAAACAAATGGTGAGAGGGAAGCACCAATTCTGAATCTCTGGGGCTAAGACTTACAGATGTAGAGAAGGGTGTAAATGAGGGAACTGGAGAATGTTACCTCTGTAAAGCTAAAGAAGAGTCCAACACCCCCCAGGATTTTCAGGGCCTCATCTGAATGCTTAAGAAACTTTTCTCCACACATCTGGCACGTGGGGCTCCGGCTCTTGCAGATCTGAGGGTGAAACACAGACCTGTGTGTTTGGAGGTTGCAGAATTGGTAAGCTGCTCCATCCCAATACCATGGCGAACAGCTCTAGAAATTATTTACTAGTTCCTGGTCAGTATCCTACAAACAAGTCCCACGTGGCTAATCCTTTAGCCTCTGTATCCATCCCCGCAACTCTGCACAACCCCCCGCTCCCACTGCCCCCGCCAGCACACAGCCCCACTACAAGAGCACTGCTAGAGAGAAGCAGTGACGTTCAGACTCTTAAATCAGCCATTTGGGCATTATCCTTTCCCAGTTCTCCCCACGCCCTGACCAACTCACTGCAGTGCAGAAAGCATAATCTTGTTGATACAGGGTTGTAAGGTTGAACAAGCCACAACAATCAAAACTTCTTTCCAGTTCATCCCGAGTCTTGTTGCTCATGACCCACCAGGAAGCATTGATGACATCTGTCTGGAGGATATAGGCAGAGGGAAATTATTTGACGCTGCCAGCCTTAAGAATCCCTCTACAGCCTGATCTCAGTCCAAGTGCCTTCATTTCCCTATTTCAGCAAAAGGGGCAAGTCCCTGAGAAGCAAGGTGTATCACAGTTACACAGACACAATAATATTTACTTAAGGTTCTACATCATCCTCATGGAAAATGAGGCAGACATCCCAGAGGAAGCAAATGGCTTGAGTCTGGAAGTAGTGGACCTAAGAATAATCTTTGGGCCCAGATGGAGAGGGAGTTAGAGATTAAAGAGAAACAAAACAAAGCAAATACTTGAAAACATCCCCTTACCTGTTTGCTTCGGTTAATAGCCAGACATGAGCAAGAGATTCCAAACTGGAAGACGAACACCAGACCAAGGATGATCATGTACTGAGAGGAAGAGTTATGGGGAAAAAGTCCTAGATTCCTTTATGTTCTACCTATAACCATCTGATCTAACCTATTCATAGAACTTATACAACCATGCCAGGTGAAAACAAAATCATCATTCTTGTTTCATAGAGCATGGTAGAGGGCAGGGCAAGGAGACATGGCCCCAAGATCCCCGAGGTCTGTTACCCTCCTAGCTTCTTCCTAGTGGCCTCGGCCCTCCCAAGAGCCCTGGTGCCCCCCTCCCTTCAGGTTAGGATACAAAGAACAGGAGTACTTGGTGGTGGTTGACAGCACCCACCAGTCCAGCCACCGCGATGAGGAGAAGGAAGACTCCCACAGCAATGACTCCTCCGATGATGTGGATGCTGGATACCAGACCCAGGCCCTTACCCCAAGCAGCCACTCCAATGAGCAACAAGCCTACCAGCTACAGGAAACAGGGCAGGATACGTCTCAAAGAATTCCAGGGTGCAGCACGGCCAAAGACCATACAGGGGGGCTTCGACAAAACAGGAGAACTGAGCTGTGTGTGAATGAGCAAGAGGAGGTCCTATCTGGACCAGAAGCACCCCTGGGCACTCCTGCCATGTAGGTCAGAGTGGCTGGGATGGGGGTGAGGGGTAGCAGGGATAGTAGACTCTATGAATATAAAAATGGAACTTTTAGCTTCTACCAGCACATCCCTCTATTTGGGGAGAAACTGATGTTCACAGGAGGGAGGGACGGGCCTTTATGCCCTCGGCCATCAGTTCATCCCCCCCACCCCCAGACAAATCCTCTGATCACCGGAAGTCTCCCCTCTTCCCACGGAAGTCCCCAAGAATTCCCTCTTCGCCGGAAGTTCCCGGGAATCTTCCCGGAACCCCCAGAACACCCTTCTCCCCACCGGAAGTCCCCTAGAGATTCTTCCCGCTGGCCTTTCCGCTCTGAGCTTCCCCCACCTCCAAAACCTCACCATGTAGACCACGTTGAGCGCGCACAGCGCATTCTTGGAGCAGGCAAAGCCACCGCAAACCATCTCCCCAGCTTTCGGGACCCAAGTGGTCCCAAGGACTTGGGGGGAGGGTCTTGGGGACCGTCTTCTTAGACCCGGACGGCTTCTGTCTCTTTAAATCGAGTCCAGCCAAACCCAGTCCTCTGCGCCTGCACCGTCCCACCCCTGCCTCTGGATTGGCGAAACTCGGGGCTAATCCAGGACGTCGAGGGCCTGAGTGCCAATCAATCTGCATTGCGTCACTGACCCGCCTGCCGGTCCCTCCTTTAAGTTCTCTATTGGATGAAACTTAAAACTGGGGGCAGGGCTTCCAGAAATTCTCATAGGGACCACTGCCTAAACTTCAAAACCCCGGATTGAAAGCGGAGCTGGAAGAGGGCTGGTCCGCGGGCGGAGGCTCTGCGGAAACTCCGGTGAAGAGCGAGAAGGTGCTGCTTCGAGCGCAGGGCGAAAGGACTCCTCCCCTTGAGGGAGCGCCCTTCCCCGCCCCTTCCCCTTGTCCTGCAGTGACCTCACGATGATGCCATTGTTTGTTGTTATTGCGTCACGCTCGAGAACACCCAGAAGAACAAAATATTGAGCCATTTAGCCAGACCACAGAGGCCCTGGGTTGGGCACAGCAGCACCTAGCAAATCCTCACGTTTGCAAGTGTATCCACTTGTGCTCATGTTCTCTGCTATACTGCCTCCTAAGGGTGTGTGAATATGCTAGAAATTTAAAGAAAAAAGCAGCCTCGGGCTGCCGCATTCCTGTGTGTGAGGAAGCCACAGGTGCAGACATGGGTGTGCTCGGCGTCTTCAGAGCACGTGCCTGATCCAGGGCTTGAAAAAAATGACAAAGGGAGGGATCTGGGATATGAATAAATATGAGGGGAGGAGGAGTCTCCACGTTTTCACTCTGAGGGCGGTCGTAGTGGTGGATCTATATATGTTTATTATTGCATCCGTGCTTTGACACACCGCCCTTTTCGTGGGGATGGGAAAAAGGCATAATCCCTCCTTCCCCCAAGAGAAAGAAGCAGTCCAGTAGGAACACAAATGAAAAACCCCCTTCGACTCCACCGAATGATTTAAAGTCGTGTCTGCTTAGATCCTACGACTGCGTGAGCAGTGTGGTCTTACTGTTGGAGTCAGACTGCATGGGCTCCAACTTTCCTGCTCACGTACTGTTTGTCCTTTGGCCAGTTACTTAAGCTCTCTGTGCCTGTCTCCTCATCTGTGAAATGGAGGTAAATAACCATACACCTGCCTGTGGGTCGTTGTGAGAATTGAATGAGTAAATATTGTAGAATTCTTGAAACAGTACCTGGCACACAGTAAACACTCCATGCTGGTTATTATTGTTCAGGCTACTTTACAGCTTCCAGGGGGTAATCCCAACCCCTATTCGCTTATCTCCAACTACACAAATATTCACATCATTATAATCCCCATCCTTCATAAATTAACACCAAGAAGATATGCAGGAGCAGAGACATTTGGCAGGGCCAGGAAGGACTGAGTCCTGAAACAAAGCCTTTAGATCAAACTGTCCACCTTGCCCCCCTCAGCCCCCTGAGTCTTCATTCTGCCCTCAATGCCTCATCCACCCTCTTCTCTTTCAGGTCCTGCATCAAGGGCAAGACAGTGGTATTAGGGGTAAGACTAACTGGTTGCAGGCATCATGGTTGGGTGATGTGGTGAAAGAGCATCTGAACTGTAATCAGAAGACCTAGATCCTTATCTTCCTGTCCCCTCTTACTGGCCTCTCTGAGCTTCAGTTTCCTTTTCTGCAGAATAGGGGTAATAATCCTACCCCTCGGGCCTGTCATGAAGATGATATATATGAAAGTATGTTGTAAACTATTAAAAGTGTTATAAACAAGTTAATTATTTTGTGAAAATAATTGAACATGGCATGGCGGTTTTGTCTGGTTAGGGTTATTGCCCTCCTCCATCGCTTGTTCTCTCCATAACCACTTGGAGCTTTGAAGCAGGAGAGGGCTGCGGTGGGGTAGCTGGCTGAGGAGGGTTACATTGCAGGATGTAAGCATGCAAGCTCTTCGGACGTATAGAGTGGGTGCTGAGTACAACTGTGAACTGGAATCCAGCAGGGCCATAAGAGTGACAGACCAAGTGTGTACAGACCCCTGTGAGAGTTTGAGACTGAACACAAACCCGTAGGTTACCAGGAATTTGGGATGACACCTGGGACCTGGCTTGCCACGTTCTCCCTGCACCAACACCCATCTTAATTAGCCACTTCCAACAGGAAGCCCTAGGGTGCTTGTTAAGGTCTCTCCATCCACCTGGCTGTGGAACCATGCAGGGGCTGGCTGGCAGAGCTGACGGGCCAACGCTAGAGGGGGTGGGAGGTGCAGAGGCAGTGCTGTCCCAGGCTGTGGGTTTGAAACTCACCAGTCAGGAAGTGAGGCCGACAGACGGAAGGGCGGGCAGGGGCGGAGAGTCCTGGGGCTCAGCAGAGGGGGCCTTCTGGGGCTTGGGGGCTGCAAGGCCATGGGCTTTGGGGCCAGAGGGTGCTATTAGCCTGGTAAGACAGGTCTGGGCAACATGCATGCCCAGAGGCAGTTGGCTGTAGCTGCAGTGAGAGCAGAAGTCAGACGACACGAGGTGGCCAAGCAGGCTTTTAGCCGCCTCAGGAAGCTGGCAGAGAGGGTGGGCGACCCTGAACTTCGGGACAGCATCCAAGCCTCACTGGACAGTGTACGAGGTAAGAGAAGGGTTAGCTCCCAACTTGGGTGTATCGGGGACCAGCAGGGGTATAGATGGGTTTGCTGGGTCATACATCACTTCCCAATCAGCCACTTCCTAGTCCCCAAGATGGAGCTGGGACTCAGGGGGAAGAATACATTTGGAAAGGATGGAAAAAGACATAGGAGGTGTCATTCTTCCTCTTTCCCCAATTCTCATCCTTCTCCCAGGGGATCAAAATACAGGTCACTGCTGAGGTGACCTTCTTGGCAATGGAGAAGTGGGTGAGCGTGGGGAAGACAGGCCGTGACAGACCCATGGTCGTCTTGGACCCTGCCTGGGGAGTCCTTGACAGGAAGCAGTCTGGGACAGGAGGTTCTGGGACGGGATAATGTGTTCATTCCCAGGACCCACAAAGGATCAGTGACCTCTTGTTCTCCAGCTGTAGAGAAACACACACACAGTGAACTATACCACGTGGAGACTCTCAGGCCCCCAGGCGCACACTAACCCTCACACAGCACGCTCTGCACAGCCGAAGTGCAGAGAAGTCCCCAGGATTCTTCTCGGTCCCCTCTCTTCCCCGTGCTCCTGTTCATGTCTTCCCCCACACACACCTTCCGCTTTACCTCCTCAGTGCCATTAGAGCAAGTGATGACAACACAGGGAGGAAGTGCTGCCATGGCAACACCATCCGCCACATCCTCCTGCCCACCCCTGCCTTCAGTCCTGTGGTGGGGCCCTGGCAGAAACAGCTTCTCTCCCTTCACAAGGCCCCACCGCTAAGGAATTGGTGGAACTGGAGGTCATCTCCGGCCCGCTCTCATCTCATTCACCTCTGAGGTGGCAGGGAGCTAAGAAAGGTGGGCTACTTTGCTCACGAAAGGTGTCTGGGATAAGCACATCCTCCACCATATATCCCGGTCTCTGCCAGCCTCTCCATCCTTAACTGCCTACCTGGGGTGGGGGGAGGTCAAGAGACCATTCTTTCCATCAAGGATACCTCCTGCCAGACCTTCCTGATGGCAGAGGCCACCAGAGCAGAACGTCGGGAAGGAACAGATAGGTTCAGGTTCCTAAGGGGACAGTCTGATTCCCTCCCCACTGCCCTTCTGAGGCTAGTGCCCCTCTCACCTCCTTTGCCAAGAATTACAGCTGACACCTTCCCTGCAGCCTTGGTTGGAAAGGCAGACCTAGGGGGAGTGGCCCCATGGGGCCTCCTCGGGGAGGAACTCCAAGCTCCGCCCCCGTAGGAAGAAAAACTGTGGGTGGGGAGGAAAGAGGTTCTGGCCAGGTAGAGGAGCTCTGCTGGCTCTGGAGAAGAAGGGAACAGACGGGTGGAGGCTGAAACCTCTGAGAAGACTCCACTCTGCATTAGTGATTTGTTCCACTCCTTCCCTAAGAGTCAGGATTCTGTCCCCATTGAACATAAAGGAAAACTGAGGCCACCAAAGGTGGGAAGGAAAATCAAGCCAGAATCAGCAAATCTCCTTCACCCTCTTTCAGAAAAGACAACAGAAGGGTCTGCTGTCCTGGAGATGGAGTCATCCTGGCTCTGCAAGGAAGGGGCGAGGGAGGGAGAAGCTGCGGACCTCGGGAAGGCACAGCGGAGGGATTGGGTACAGGTCTCAGGGAGAATAAAGGGCACTCAGCATCCTGCTACCGCCCCCCCCGCCCCACCCTCACCCACTACCAGGCCGAGCACGCCGCCGGTTCCTGCCTCCAAGAGCCGCCCACGACAGCACTTATTATAGTCTCGGCTGCGTCAGGAGGGTGGGACGCCAAATTAGGGGAACGCTGAGACTCCCCGAGTCCCGGGGAGGGTCTCCAAGGCTGCGGGCAGGCCTCCCCCAACCCCCCCCCACCCCCCGCCAACCCCCTCTGGGTCTCAGCCTCTGTTCCCCATCGGCCTAACCCTTCCATCCCCGCGAGCTGGAGGACAGTGAGCCTTGAACTCCAGGGTCCCTAGGGGGGGAAGAGGGGCGGATACAGAGCAGAGGTTTTCCATTCTCTCTGTCTCCTCTTTAACCTTCTAAAAGAGCCCCACCCCGAAAACCTCAGGAGACTGAATGGGAACCCAAAAGAGGCCGGATCCCGCTGCCTCAGCTGAGGGGCTCCTTATATTCTGGGGCGCTAAATACCCCACATGTGGGTAACCAGGTGCGAGGGTGGTGCTTCCATTAACGCAAAATCCCCTGGCGGGTCCCCCACCCACCATACACACCGATCCCTCCTCTCTGCTTCTCCCCGCTGTTTCTGAGGCACACTTGGAGCTACGGTTGCTATGGAGACCGGATGCATTTTGGTTGGGGGGGTGTCAATCTGTAGACATATTCCTTCTCCTTCCACCTCGAGCTGGAGCTTTGGACTCACTTTTCGGCCTGGGTTCCTTGAGCCTCCAGATCTCTCCGCACCAGAGGCACCCCCCTCCTTGTACCCTGCTAAGTTCCGCGTTTGTCCGCATCCCCAGGGAACA